TTCGAACAATAAAATGAATATATCATCGACGAAATATTTCAGAGTAGTATTTTTTGACAGGCTGAACGTTCATTCTATTCCGACACGGCACGGTAGATTGACACTTCTGTAAAGCAACAGAAGTTCGTGGACATTGAGCCAAAAGAGTACACACGCTGCATTAGCTGCTTAGTATCGGTCGCGTCAACGTTTTAACCTTCGATCGTCTCGCGTGTATTCCGTCGAACGCGCGCAGGAAAGGAATGTTACGAGCGAGAAAGGAAGAAACGAAAAAGAAAAAAGGAAAAGAAAGAAAAAAGAACGAAATTCGCCTCGGAGAGAATGCAGCGGGGAGAGACCTCGACTCACAGTCAGTTACAGTCACGGCTCAGGGCCGCGCAGGAACGTGCACGCGCGCATCAATAAAACCGTAACCTCGAGATTCGTAGAGAATCCCGACTTCCGGTGGCGACGATCTTCCTCCGATCGTTGCGTTACCTTATGGTCAATGACAAACCAGAGCCCCGAGCCACCTTTCTCTCTACGATCGCTACGATCATACGAGGAAAAAAGAAAGAGAAAAAGAAAAAAAAAAGAGAATTTCGAGCGGCCGCATTGAAAATTAAAAAAAAAAAATAATAAAAATAGAACGTTCTCGTGGCCGGGGGTTGAAAGACCCTTGAAACAACAGCTGCCACCGTGCTCAATCGGCGGCCTTTCGACGCATCTGTATCTCCTTATCATGTATCCTCCTCTTTGTCACCGTAAAACCTTTCTTCTTTTTTTCATCATGAGATTTACCATTAAATTCATTGTCCATCCTACATCCGAATTGCTTTTTCTTCTTTTTAACGTAAAATCTACCATTAAGTTTCGTTATCCTGTACAAATATCAAACTGCTTTTTTCCTACCATCATCAAGTTCTACACATAGTACCATTTAAACTTTTGCTTTTTCTTTTTCTTTTTCTTTTTGTTATGAAATTCTCCGTCCTACATAAATACCTATCAAATTGCCCTTTTTCTTAATTTTTTTCTAATTATTCCCAACCCTGAGTCTTTCAACTCTCCTCGTATGAAGACCAAACAAAATTCTTGAATCTTGAATCACTTTCTCACCTAGTTTTTTTTTTTTTTTTTCAAAACCAACCTCGTATGAACGCCAACCACAACGCAATTCCGCATTTAGCCTAACCGATATCATACAAATTACCACCCTCATCAACCCCCGGCCCTGCGCATTAAAAAGAACACCATCAGCGTACACTAATCTTGTCCAGTGATATTAATGGCAGTCGTATCTTTGTTCTTGTTTGTTCCCGGTCCCGCTCGCTCGGCTATACGTTCGGCTCTGGTTCGTCATTGTTCTGTGTGTACCTACCCGCTACCTTCACGAACACGGATTTGCGCTGGGGGTCCATCCACACACGTGGCTCTCCGTGTGCCTCCTCCTACGCCACAAATATTGGTTCGTAACGGAAACATATCTTTTCTTTTTAATTGGGTGTCGATATTTATAATCGGACAATGGTGCTTGGTCTCTCTCTCTCTCTCTCTCTCTCTCTCTCTCTCTCTGTTTCTCACTATTTTTCTAATTCTTCGTAACTTTACGTTTAAATTACTTACTACTTACTTTCTCTATTTCTTTATCTTTTTCTTCTTTCTTTCTCTTTGCTTCGACCAAACGTGAAACATTCTACTTAACTCTCTCTCTCTCTCTCTCTCTCTCTCTCGTATTTGCGCTGCTTTTTAAATCTCTTTCTTGTTTCTTTTTCATTTTCGTCTCTGTCTAACCGTACAATCGCCAATATTCACTTGAATGCCAACTCTCTGCGTAACTGTAACAATTAACAAAACATGGGGATATAAAACCGGGCCGTTTCCCTTCTCGTTCGTTACGATCCTCTGCTCTTTTTTTCCTCTCTCTCTTTTTCGCGAAAACAAACAAACGGAGCAGCGGGACCACCGTCGGCGATCCTCGCGATGAGATTATCGCACCCGTTGCACGGCAACCTACTGCCCCCGGGTGTATGCTATACCTGCGACGTTTGCGGCAAAACCCTCTCCACCAAGCTCACCCTCAAACGGCATAAAGAACAGCAGCACTTCCAACCCCTGAACAGCGCGGTCTGCGCGCTCTGCCACAAGGTGTTCAGGACGCTCAACAGTCTGAACAATCACAAGAGCATCTATCATCGTAGGCAGAAATAGAGCCGGTTATCGTCGCGTTTGCTCGCATCGTGCCGAGGAACACTGTAGAGGAACAAAGAGAACGGGAAAGAATAAGGGAAGAAATAAGGAAAACGGAGAAAAACGAGCTTAGTAGAAAGAACACGGTGGGAAAAGAAAAGAGAAACACGGTGCCAATATGGAGGACGTGTGGTTGTGGCGGCGGCTCCAGTAGACGAGACCGATGAAAAATCGTCAACAGCATGGCCGCTCGAAGGATACGGCGATTGTTCTTCTCATACATATACATATATATATATATATAGAAATATTATATATTTTTCTTTTCCTTTTTACGCGTGTTACCTTTGTTGTCGCGGTTGCTTTTTTCGTCGTTCGTTCGTTCGGCGCGAAGCCGCGCGAGTAAACGGAATTGTTGTTGATTGTTGGTTATTATTCATCGGTTGTCGGTCGTCATGACGATGACGGTTCGTTAGTTCGGTGATATTGCTCTGTTGAACGTTCGCGATACATGGGACCAGTTGCAAGTAACGCAGGAATCGCGTTGATAGCTTTTAAAATCGGTCGAGAGTTAAAAAAGAAGGAGGGAGAGTTCGGGTGGGATTCTCTACGAGCGTCAGACGCGTGTCGTGTTCGTGAGATGGAGACATTTCTAACTTTTAACTAACTTTTAGAAGGACAACTGAATTTTGGAGAACCGTTTAATTTTGGAAAATTTTATGAAATTATTTATGTTAATCGTTTATGTCCTGATATATGGAAGTTTGATTTTTTTATCTGGTATCGTTGGACCATTGGGGACCACAACTTGAAAGTTATATACACGTCCACGTTTCGATAATCGTTTCAATGCATTTTGGTTACAAAAAATACCAAAAACTTATCTATAAGAGTAATTGGTCCTCAGCTGCCAATCATTTTTTCTCTCTTCTAAAAGACACGAAATTTGTTATTTTTCAAACTTTTAATTTATCGAGTCGAAAATTTATTATCAATCTCTGTCATGGACGATATAAAATTGCAAAATAAAATGTAACATAAATTACATATCCATGACCCAATGATAGTATTTGAGGGTCAGTATTTATGAAAATACAATTTGTAGCAGAGAAATGAAATTTCTCAAGAAACAGAAAATTTGTAACAAATATAACAAAGTGCATAGTTGCCAGAAATAAAAGCGTCAGAAATTTAGAAACTTTCTATAAAAGATGACTTTGGAATTCTGACCAAATAATTCTTAAATTAAAATAGTAATAATTCTACATTTAAATGGACTCCTCTTGGTCTTTTTACTTCCTGATTTCTAGACTTCCTCTGAAGTCTTTGAAATCTCTAAGAATTCTAATATCTTTAAAAATTTTAATCTCTGAAGTCCCTCAAAAAGTCCTTAAAATCTCCACGCACGATTTTCCACGGCCTGAAAACTCACTGACTGTGAGACGCGCGTCCGACGCTCACGGGGAACATTCCATTCCTTGTGGCGGGAGTGTAAACGGTACTAGAGTTTAAACTTCGCGCGTGCATGCTGTTCGCGACGAGAGACGGCACACATACAGTGACTTCCTTGTCGATGGAGCGAGACCGAGAGCAAAACGTCCGTAGCGAGGAGGAATACCACGGAAATCGAGCGTGAAAGAAAGAAAGAGAGAGACTGGCTTCGTAGAAACCGAAAATCAGTGCTTCCAGACCGAACATGATGAACGTGGCGATTATTAATTCTAACCCTATGCCAGTCGTAATGTGTATACACGTCTTGATAAGGGACAACGCCGTATTTTCACCGAGGCGAGAGATTTCGTTCACCGAAAACGAACGATCGAAAACCTCGAAATTTCCGCCTCGACGATCATCAGCCGGACTAACGTGTTATCGATTTTTCTTTTTTTTTTTCTTTTCCTTTGTTAGTGATAAACGATCTTACGAGATCGTGGCGATTTCAAGGATCTCCGATCGATCACTCGACGAGAGGAGCCAGAGACGAATCTTTCACAAGAAAACACGGTCGTGGAAGGTTTCAGGATTAGGATGAAAAGAAAACCTTCCGGACGCGTCCCGTCCGCAATCGAGGCTTTGCTCGTTGTTTCAGCGTTGCGAAAACGTGCCCGCCACTTTGATTCGAGTGGTCGTCGACGAGTCTGTCCAAACTAACGGGTCTGGAACGATCGGCCAATCATTCAGGCTTTGCCGTTTTCCCTGCGATTGCGATCGGTTGCAATCTCTGTTTCGCGGAAACTTAGATCGAGGAAAAGCGAATGAAAATGTCGCCTGTTCTTAATCCCTCGACGTTGCAACTGAATTCGATGCCGAACAATTTTTAACGAGACGTCGAGCACAGAAAGTTTACGGGTTTGAGGTGATAATTAGTTCTCTCGGATCAATTTGATTTATTGTCAAATCCAATTTTTTATGGCTGTGAAAAGTAAGTTGAAGAATTACCATGATGCAGGTACTTTCGTTACTATTTCTTCTATATTTGACAAGTTTGAGCTTGGACCTTCAAAGATCCAATTTATCAATTTTAAAATTCGCTCTGGCGAGCGTCTTCTAATTGTAAGTATCATTTGATACCTAGTTTAGCTCGAAAATCGAGGAGCTGAAAGTAAAAAAGGAAGATTGGCAGCGATCGATGTCTCATTACGAGCTATCACCTAGCACTAAATTCAGTTCCAGAATCGATGGACCGAGAACAGGCGAGGAAGCGCCACTCGTTGTGGAACGACGGTCGCACGTTCTACGGCAATAGCACCAAACGAAAAAAAAAAGAAAAGAAAAAAAACGAAAAAGAAAGAAAAAAGATTAGAGTAAATCGCGTAGTTATTTTCGTCTACTTTTATACCGCGCACACTCCCCGGACCTTTCTACGATGAAAACTTGTGTGAAACTTTCGAATCGAGAGAGAACCGAAGGAAAAGAAAAGTGGCCTGAACAAACTGAACTTGATTCCGCAACGAAAAAAATAAAAAAATAAAAAAAAAGAGGAAAGAAGAAAGAAAAGTTTGGACGTGCGTTGACGACGACTCGGAGAAACTTGTGGCAGGGTTCGCGGTTCGTCGGCTCGTCGAGTTGAACGCTAGGAGTGATATCCTCATGTCTAGATCCCCGTGAACCGATCGATTCACGCGGGAGATCCATTCGATGGATCCAATGTCCTTTCGCGCGACACGCGCCTAGACGACATCCCGTAACCGATACACACGGCTTAATCGCAGGCTATACAAGTATGTAGTTAGATTTATGTAACGCAGAACAGTGAAGAAAATGGGAGAAAAATTACGAAAAAAAAAAGAAAAGAATGAAAAGTAGCAAAAAATGATACTTCCAGGTGTCGGAGACACCATCGTCCAACTAACTTTTTAGGCGGAAACGTCCGAAACGTTTCAACAAGACTGTAAAACGAAATATTGATTAATCAGAAAGACTCGAGAATTTTTAATTGTTTAGACGTTGACGGGGGAGGGCTGTAGAGAGAGGGGAGGGGGGAGGGTTTAAGGGGAAAATGCGCGCGAACGAAGCACACTGGAGGGAACCTCCGTCGCGGATCGATAACGATCGCATGGTAACGCGGTTGTAAAAAGCAAAGGAAAGTTACGAGAAAAAGAAAGTGGCAGGGTACCCATGGTGGTGGAAGAGGGGAAGGGGCAGGGAGGAGGGAGGGATCGTGTGTTTAATCAATTGAGTACCTCGCGTTCTCCCCCGCGACGAATTTCGTCCTCGTTCCGCGACGGTCACACAGACAACAGGATATATATATATATATAATATAATATAATATATATATTTTATCTTAATATATTCATTCCATATTAAAATGCTTTAGAGGGGTACCTTGCACACAGACACATATTCATTTAAATAGTACATATACCGGGCTTTACGTAAAGTACCTTACATTATTGAATATTATTATTATTTTTTACGGTCTACCACATACGGACGATTAATATATATAGATCGCATTGTTTCATATCATTTATGTTGTCGCGGTCGTTAGCATCGAACGGTTTCGTCTTTCTTTTTCTTTTTCTTTTTCTTTTTCACTGTTGTTCACTCGTCTTTTTCTTCTTCGTTTTTTTTTTTTTCTAATTCTACGTCTTTTCTTCGAAATCGTTGACGTCTTCGACACGTGTTGTTTTTCGTGTCGTTTTTCGAGGATTTTTCTACGCAATACTCAAAACCAAAAAAAAAAAAAAAAACGAAAAAAGATTAAAAAATAATAATAATGATGATGATGATGATGATGATGATGATGATGATGATGAAAGAAGAAGAGGAACAAGGAAAGCAGGAAAAGAAGACATGTTTCATCCTTTCGGCCTTGGCACGTTGATTTGCGTAGCATTTGATTCTCGCCACCTCTCCGCCCCGTGCCTGCGGTCGTCGCGCTTTCTTACTTTGAATCTTTCGAATTTTCTTTTCCCCCTTTTCTTTTTTCCCTTCTTTCTTCTTCTCTCACGTTGTCGCGCAACGTGGAGGAAAAACGAGGGGGCACAGAAGGGGGGTTGGGACGCCGCGACGACGACACGTTTCCGCAAACGGTCAGAAACGCCGTGTGCCGCGAATTTAGAAAAAAGAAAAAATAAAAAAAAACAGCTGTTCGGTTTTCTCAAAGGTGCGGGGAAGGGATGAGAAACGAGGAAACACGGTCCACTAACACTTGACAGGTTACTTATATACTAAACGATAATAGCCATATATACGTATAACCGACTACATAGCATATACCTATATTTTAGTAGAACTTTGATAAGCCATTTCGCGAGCACTTCCTGGCGATCGCGAGATCGTTTCAGACCACTTTTTTTTTCGTTCGTCTTTTTTCTATTCCAATTTCTCTTTTTTTTTTTCTTTCTTCATTTCACTGAATTTACTGCACGCGAAAAAACCAAATGGCCGATCATTTCACACGCGTCTGAAGCGATAATTCGCGGGGTCAGGAAGGACTGGCGGGATTCCGAACGATAAACATATAGACAGACTAGATCCCGTCGTGCGTCGACGTTTGTAGAGGATCGATGGCAAAAAAATAATTCGCAGAGCACACATAGACACGTACGAGTATATTTTACAACGCATCATTGTACAAAACGGCGTGAGACATTAGCCGAACGTGCGCAAAAAACACGAGACACACGCAGACTGTGACACAAGGCAGTTTGGATATTAATGATACTTACGAGTAAATAATACACACACACACACACACACACACACACATACTTTCAACACGAGGACACTTGTACATCGTTAGATAGGCTATGATAATTTAAATTAGGTTATATTCTGTTAAGATGGTCCGCGTCGTTCGTATTTTCTGTTAAGCTGGTCCGCGCTTTCAGTGGAATTTCACCGCGACCAGTCGTGAGATTTGAACACGGTCGAAGAAACACGGACGAGAATGCCAAGGAGAGAAAGAGCGAAGCTGAGTGAGTGTGAGCGTGTGCGAGAGAAAACGCGAAAAGGGAGAATTATATTGTTTTTGGCAGATTTTCTTCGAAAAGTACGAAGGTACGATCGACGCCGAGCATTTGTTTCTTACGCGAAAGCGAGATGAGTGATGAGGGCGGGGGTGGGAGGGAGGAGAGTGAGAAAAAGGAACGAGATGTCCGGGAAAGGAGTGTGGTGTTTCTTTTTGGTTGGAAGGAAAACGAGGAAAATGAGAAAGAACGAAGCTTTAAATTACGCGAGTAACGAACACACGATTTTATAGTAGTCAGTTATAACTTGAGAAAAAGAACTGATTATCGATAATATTTAAACTAGTAGATTTATCTCGAGGAAAATATTGATTTGTGACTACTGTAAAGGAAAAGCGAAAAAAGAAAAAACAAAAAAAAAAAAAAAAATGGCCAAATATTAATTGCGGAATATATATTTCGCCCTCCGATCCGCGGTCGGCGCTATATTATTGAGAATAATAAATTATTAATGAAATTAATATAAATTGAATGAATATTTAACTGCAAATTATATATTAGTAGAAAGTTTATTATTCGAGTATTTTTTTTTCTTCTATCGTCTTTTATTTTCTTTCTTTTATTTTTTTTATTCTTCTTCTTTTCGTTTATCGTTCGTTTAATTTCGCTCTATGTTAATGCGTTATTGAAATTGCGAGACCGTGCGACTGCGTTTTGACATGTACATATGCACGCTCTCGTGCGTAAGTATCAGGACATCTCCGGGAATGATTGAATATTTATTTATACGAGTTACTGCCTGATTTGAAACTCGTGTAAAGAAAGACAGAGATTATTAAGTCTTACGATAAAGAGAATTCATATGTTCGGAGTGTTGTAATAAAAAATCAAATCAAATTTATGTATGATAACTTTAATCAATTCTGACAGTCGAATTATCAACATCGTGGTGGTAATTGACGATCGAGATCAGTCTTTAAAATCAAAATCAAAATGTAATTAGCGTTAACTGTAACATAATTAATATTACAATTATATTCGTATTTATTATCAAATTTGTTATAATCGTAATTGGCGGCCAGGAAAATCATCAGAGTCATGTAATCCACGAAGTTGCTAAAAGAAATTGCTTGGTATTGAGATTGGCTTAGTATTTTAAACTTTTTCTTTTCTGTAATTTCGTGAAATGCAAAGGAATTGGAGTATGTATAATACTACGACGAATGACGACGTTGCCTTTTAAAATAATTATGACAAAACGAACTTCTTCTTTTACTGTCGTAGCTACCAAAGGAAATAAATCTGTCTAGATTGTATCAATTTTATGAAATTTGAAGCAGTCAACGAACTGTCAACTTAAATCAATCGTCACATTTTAAGTATTAGCAGAAAGTGTCCCAATACTTACGAACGGGAGCGTACACGTCGGTGGTTCGTGAACACGTTCCACGCGATAATGATAACACGCCGTTCTCGGAATTCGCGCTCTGTAGTTTGCCTTTGGCGAGAAACCGCGCACGGTCAAAGACAAGGAGCGACGGTGCTTCCTTATTAATTTTACGATTGGCCAGTGCAAAAAAAAAAAAAAAAACGAATCGTTCGAAGCCGATTTCGAACCTCGTTCGAAGACTGAATTGTTGAATTGAACAAGAAGCGTGTCGCGGCTGGCAAAACGTCCGTCTTCGCGATCCTCTTCCTCCTTCGTCGAGGATGGAGCACTTTGGCGAAGACGAGCGAGATGGAGTATCGACGAACGAACTAAATAAGAAGCGAAAAAAAGAGAGAAAACGAAACACGTTCGACACTGGAGAAGCAGACACGAACTCTCGAGACGCGTACCTGATTGCAATTCATCGTTAGTTAGAGTTTAGTCATCCGGACGCCATCCGCGACACGCTTTAGCGTGTCAGACTGAATTGGACTGATTTATCTCTTTTTTTTCTCCTTTTTTTTCTTCTACTTTTTTTTTCTTTTCCTTTTTCTTTTTTTTTT